TAAATTTTTTATTTGATAATGAATTATTTTTAAAAATCGATCTAAAATTTGATTTTATTATTATATATTATTAATAAGTATATGCATAAATCATAAATATTAAATGTTATAAATAATACTTGTTATATTATATTGTAATATTAATAATATTCATATAATCTTAATTTAAAATGTTTTTAAATTAATAATCTTTATTAGAAAAAATATTTAAACATTAAAAATTTATTAAAACATATATATATATATATATTTAAAATTTATTTATGGACAAGAATATTTGAATTAAAATTTTTTATTGATCTAATATTACAAGATTAAAATAACCTAGTCTATAATATATGAATTATGAATAACACAATTTACACAATAATTTATATAAAATTAAGTAAATATTAATCTGAATTTTTATAATTTTAGTAATATAATTAATATTAATAAAAATGATACAAAATGAAATAATACATATATAAGATATTTATTTTAAAATTATATAAAAACATTATATAGAAACATTATATTGGTAAACCTGAATAGCAAGCAAAAACCACATGGAAAAGGTGAAAGTATTAAGAGACAGAAGACGACAGATCAGAAGCGCCACAAACGGACATTTTACAAAACACTCGGCATGGATCGAGCTCCATGTTCGCCCGTGAAAGTAATGCGGTATCTCCGCGATTAGGGGATACAAATTTCGTGTTCAGTGTAAGGACGTTGAACAGTTTGTATACGTTATTTTGTGAGTCGATATTTGCAATTGTTTGTTTCAAAGGTGACAAGGTTAGTTTAAGGGTGTGTAATCTTAATACGTGTCAAAAAGTAGCGTGGCGAAACGATTTTTGGTCTCGTTTCAGTGCACGAGGAAATCTTTATAAAAACCGATCGCGACATCACAAAATAATAAAGTTTTGTCGAAAAAACATATCGAAAATAAAAACGGAAAAGACAATATTAAAAAGAAAGGCGAAAATAATAATATTAAAAGTGGTAGTGGCGGCAGCGATAGTGACGGTAACGGCAGCAGTGGCGCAAAGTGTGAGGACGAGGTGAATGCACGGCGGCCGCGGTGTGTGCCAGTGGTGTGCGCGCTCGTCACTCGTGGAAACCCGCCAAAACCCGCGGCCGCGAACAACCACCAGCAAGAGCAGCAACAATAGCAATAACAACAGTAATAGAAGGAAAAGAAGGAGGAGGAGAAGAAGGAGAAGGAGAAGGTGGAACAGCATTAGCAGTAGTAGTAGTAGTAGTGGTAGCAGCAGCAGCAGAAGCAGTGGTAGCACGCGACGTTGTGCTGTTTTGACAACTTTCCGCCGCGTCGGGGCGTCGCGCCGTTTTTCTCGCGGCGGCGGCGGCAACGGTAGAAACAACAGCAATAAGATAGCGACAACAACAACTTATTTAAAAAAGATCGATTGTGACAGCAATTACGATTGCTGCTGTCTCTCCAGCCCATACGACGTCGACGGTGGTGGCGACTGCGTTCTGTTATTATTTTGCCACGGTGTTTTTGACCCTACAAACCGGACGAGTTCATTGCAGCACTTTCGCGGGGGTGTCAGCCAGTTTTATTACTCCGACCTTCTCCGTCCGCAGCAGCAGCGCCGACGGCGCCAGAACACGACGTGGTATATGCAGCAGCACGTCTAACTACAGGGTGATTCTCCCGCTAGTTAACTCAAAGGTTGTGAAGCTGATTACACTCTTATTTTTATTTTTACATATATCATATATGTATATATGTATATGTATATGATATACATCCAATACCACTCACCCACACACACACATAAACACACAGAGCTATCTCGATATCATTCTTTGATATCACAGCAAAAATCCAACAAATTACATATATCGAAACGTTGCGTTATCGCTGTGATGTGATCGGTGGCATTGTCTTTGAAACAAGTAGCAAGAGAATTACCCTATAGTGTATGTTTCAATCATACCAATAATCCAGAGACACGTTGGAGCGCTTAATTCATCGACAAGCTCTGAATACTAACTTAGTGTGTATCGAGCGAGTCAAACTGAAAAAAACTGGCGATTCTCTTTTTACACTTGCCACTAGAGGGATTCGCTAAAAACACAATTCTCTTATTCATTTAAAATTACGAATTTGTAATACTGTAATATTAGAAAAACAAAACAAAACAAAAAAAAAATTAAAAATATAGAAAAATAAAAAAATAAAGTGATGCAATCTTCTATCCTAAGATTACTATTAAATTTAACAACATCTATTAAAAGGACATGCTCGTACCTTAAATGTGAGAATTTGTAGACAATTCAGAAGATATATTTTTAAAAAAGGATAGTTAAACGAATGTTTGCGAAAATTTTGTTTTTAGTATAAATCCCTCTGGTGGCAAGTGTAGGAGGATCGCCACAGAACTATATCAGTGACGTTGCGACTGAGAAAGGACGCGACAAACCACGTGATATACCTGTCGTCGAGCCGCGTCATGCAAAGCATGCCCGACTCCTCGATGGCCATAACCTGAATTGAGCCGATTTGACCCGATTAAGCCCGATTCAACGTATTCGTAGTTGAACGAACAAGCAAACGAACGAATGAAAGAAAACAAACGGTAGCCATTGACTTTTTTCATCTTTCCTCGTGCTTACGTTCATTATTCTTTGGTGTTCTGTGTTTAATAAAGAATATGCTTTTTGCAATAAAGATGCGAATATTCAGAAGTGTATTATACTTCAATAATAATATTTATCTAATAAAAAAAAAAATAAAAATTTAATTAGGAAAAGGGTCAATCTGTCTATTTGTAACAGGTGACTAGTCAAACGAATGAACGGAGTGATTGTGATACGCATGCTATTTCTCGTTTTTTCGATGTTCTTTTATAACGGTGATAATTTGAAATAATTGTGCTATACTGTGTACTGTGCATATAGTGTCATTAATACGGTGTTTTTATAGTGTCAACCGTTACGTATAATTGTCTGAAGGTAGTGGCGTGGGAGTCCATTTTAACCGCTCGTATTCACGAAAAGATACAAGTGTCCACGTGTGAAATATGGTCGGCACTTGAAGGGCGTGAAAATCATATGTTGAACTTATTTCAAGAAAATTTTTTAATGTCTTCTCTAATAGAAATTTTATCATAAGTATAGTTAATATTTAATTTTATGATCTGTTTATTTTTTCATTATTGTACACTTTGTTGATTACCAAAGAAAAAAATGTCAAGCACGTTTTTTTACGGCGATTCAAGAATCTTGAAAAAGAATAAGTGCTAAAAATTGTGATTTTGTTAAGTTATAGAAAAAAAAGAATTAAAATTTCTAGAAAACAGTGTATATACTGACAAGTTAACAGTTATTAAGAAATATCCGTGTACATTTAGTGAAGTGTTTGACAGTATTTAATCAAGTGTCTAATAATGAAAAATACCTGGTGAGTCAAAATTTTAATTTATAATATTTATATTAAAAAAAGTGTCGGTGCATGCATATGTGTATGCATTCATGTGTACGCACGCGCCCGCGCATATGTATGTACATATAATTATTTGTTCTTGCAATGTATATATTTTAACCAATTAGAGATACAAAAAAAAGTGAAAAGAAAACAGAATGTAAAACGAAAAAATAGTAATTGGAGTGAAATATATTTTATTTTAATGTTACACTACAACAGTTTAAAAAAATTATAAATGAAAAAATTTATTTATTTTGTTTTTACTTTATTATTTTATTTTCAAAATATAAAAATGTTATTATATTACATATTGCGAAAATCGTACATAAGAAAATAAATGAACTGAAAATAATAACTAATAGTTTTCATTATTTTTAACGTATTTATATTTATGTATAATGATCTTTATTAATTATTTTTTTAAATTCATTTTTTTTTTTATCTTTTCTTGATTAAAAATTTTTATAATCATTTCATAATTTTATAATCATAATTCATACGAAAATAAATGAAATTCTAGGTTAGGTTACTAATTGTTACAACTTAACCTCAAACATGTTAATTATCTTGTCTTTTTTTCTTAATTATAATTTATATTTATTATTTTTATTATCAACATATGTTAATAAGGGAAAAAATAATAAAATATGAATACATTATATTTATTTGCGTTTATATATATGTAATTGTACATCAATGCTTTGAAATTCAAAACTGTGTTTATTATATTATTTATTATTTATAAATAAATCTAATCTAATTATTATAAAATTTAAATGTTTTAAATTATTAACGAATTTTTTATAAAATTTATATCTAAAAATCGAAATATGAAATCAAATAAATATAATAAAGAATATATTATTCTTTAATTAGATATATTATATAAAGAAATATATGTATAAATAAAATCATGTATTGCTTCAAATATATTGCTATGCATACTAATATTTGAAATGTATTAAATATTTGATAATGATTTAATTATATAATGATTTAATTTAAAAATAATAATTATATTATAATATTTAATGTAAATGTTATTAATGTATAAAATAATAGTTATCAAGAAAAGTATTTAACTTTTTAAATATTAATATTGAAGATAATATTAA